CCTCTGTCTACAGCTGGATTGGAGCTGGGCCAGATTGGGACCACACTTGCCCCCTAACCCCCTCTGCATGGCTGGACAGGGCCCACCTCACCTGCCCCAGGTTCTGGATCAGGACCACTGGCCTGTGGATGGACCAGGCACTGCCCATTGGACCCACCAGGGGAAAAGTTTGAGAACTGCTGCACTAGCTACCTTGCCAGTGAGCTCTGCTCCCTGTTGCATTGATCAGACTGTTTAGGGTCTTGCTGGGATATGCAGGGGTGTATTCCAGTAGTGCAGCAGTCCTTTGGTCTAATGCCCCTTTGCTCCCAGAACTGCTTTATACCTTTCATTTCCTGCGTTATTTAAACTACTACTCAGTCACTGAGTACTAGACTACTCCCATGATTGCTATCCAACTATTGGGCACCTTCCTAAATCCTTGTAGGCCTAAACATCCATTCTATAACCCGCCGCCCCACGTACCCTTCTTACCCCACAGCCTTCCTCTCCATTCGTTCTTTCCCCACTGCCATTACCAATGATGGATTTGACAGAAGGTGTAGCTGCTGGCTCAGCTTTATGCAGAAAGGACATTGGCATTTTTGCCCTCACGTGACTGTGTAGCACCAGGCAGGACCAGAGGGCAGTCTGCAAAGCTGCAGGGACGCCCAGATCCCCACCCCCCATAAAATGAACAGGCAAACAGTTCCAGGGGCTGGGGAAAAGAAGAGGAGGCTGGAGTAAGGGAGTGAGAACAGCAGACAGGTGGGCTTTGGTCAGCCCTACACAGAGGAGCTGGACATTACACAGCCCTGGCTGCCTGAGCCGTTGGGGAGAGGAGGAGCTGGACTCCGGCCTGGGGCAGCTGCAGGTGCCACCCGGGCACTCTGGGGTGGAGGCTTCTCTGGAGGCTGCCCTGGGAACAGGGGGAGCATGGGTCACCATAGCCCTGATGTTCTTCCTCCTCCTATGCAGCCCCTCCAGCCCCGTGGAGAAGTAGGGCCTCCCTGTGGTACCTGTGCCAGTGCATGTCCGGGGCGCTGGCACAAAGAGGCACCCCTGATGGGGGCTGGCTGACAGGTCAGGGCCTGAGGCGTACAGGGCGCCCCCACTGCCCAGGCCCGGCTACGGCCGGGAACCCGCGTGCTGGCTGGTGGCTGAGGAAGCAGCTGTCCTGGGATGTGGGAAGCTTGAGGCAAGAATGCAGTGGGGCAGGCTGGGACTGGGTGGGCAGATGGGGGTCCCGAACTTGCTCACGAGCCTGTGCAGAGCTGCTCTGCCCCCTGGCAGCTCCCCCAGGCAGCATCAGGCACCCTTGGCACTGCCTGGCCTGGCCCTGCTCTCAGCCAAGCTGGGCCTGGTGCACCTTTTCAGGCCTTTAACCCCCCTGCGGTGCTGGTGAGTAACACCGTCTCCTGGCTGCAGCTTCCCGCCTCAGGCCACTCCTTTCTCTCCTCTGGGCCGGTCCACCTGGTCCAGGGAGCAGCCTTCCCCGCTCCAGGCTCCCTGGTCCACAGCTGCCGGAGCCCCCCTCAGCCGTGCTCGTGCCAGCGTGGGGCAGACTTGACTGACAGAAGCACGGAGGCAATGAAGCGTTTTGTGCTGGGCCTTAGGGCAAGAGACAAATTATTCAGAGGTGTCTCTTATTCCGAGGCCTAGCACACAAGCTCTGGCCTCCTTGAGCCCCTGGGTCGCTCTCAGTCCCGCTGCACGGAGCTAGAACAAGCACAGATGAGGTGAGGGCATCAGCTCCAGCCACTAGCAAGTGGATGGGCCTGACCCAGGAGAGCCCAGAGCGGGAGGGCAAAAAGGGAAGGACAGTCCCACCAGCAAAACATCTAGGCCAGTGAAAAGGAGATGAAGAGGAGACCAGCCTGAAGATGCTCAAGAAAGCTAGATTTTCTTCTAGGCCTCTGAACAGGAGATGTACGTTTGACTGCAACAACCGTACGAGGAATATAGCACAATCCTTGGACTAGTTTTTGCCTAGTTTAAAGTTAAAAAACAAACAAACAAACAAACAAACACACATAATCAGCAAATGAGGGCTTGTTTCCAATTATCTGTGCATAGTGCCAGACCCCTGGCATAGTACAACAGCCTCTAGTTTCAATTTAACTGGAGAAACACTCATGTTCTGGCATGTGTGATGATGATGTGCCACAGGACTCCTGCACCTCCCCTTCTCTAAAGCCTAGATCCATCCAGCCTCAGGCTTAGTCAAGGCTCCACCTGCACCTGAATCAGCCCCATACTCACCAGAAGGAGCTTCAGTGACCATTGACCTGTAGTGATTCATAGTGTATGTGCCTAGGAAAAGATCACACATGGAGAAGGGATCACAGTGTACACCATAGTGCCTTTTGGAAAGGCAATAGATGATGGATGGACAGTTGTACATCATCTATGTGCAGAGGGCAGCCCTTCCCCATTTCAAGCCCCCCCCCCCCAAAAAAAAGGGTCATAACTTTCTTTTGGAAAGAGATACAAAAACTATTTCACTTGCTGCATGCAATTACCTGCCCCATCAGTGAGACATCACCTCATAGCCAAAGGATACAGAGCTGAGCAGGCCAGTGGGACAGAAGGTCTGCTCAAGTAGTCCTAAAAGACAACCAACTGCACCATGGTAGTGAGGATATTTATTATTTGCATCCCAGCCTTAGTAAGTGTGACAGATTTCCAGGTGCACTCTATTCAAATGCAGAGGAGATTTTTTCCCTTTCCCAGGCATTCATAAATTTGCATTTAAGGCAGAAAAGGGCTGCAGTAGCTCATAATTAATCAAAATTAGTTTTTCAGTAAGGGAAACCTCTACAGATGTTTCTGTTGCCATCTCTTACTCAGTATGCCAGGCTGGAATAAAATATTAAAAAGGAGAAAGGAAGTGAAGAAAATAAGTCCATTGACAATGTAGTATTCATTACCTGGCTGATTATAAAGTGTCATAAGAGCTTCAGTGGGTTGTGTCTGTGTTCATAACTGCTCATCACTATGACGGTTAATGATCTGTGTTTCCATAGTGGATTTCAGAGGGTGCTTGCAGAAAGCCTACTACTTTGACAGCACCAAGACAAAACTGGTTTCCTCAGCAGCTTTGCGCATACATTGTTCAGACACGAAATTACAAAGCAGCACTTCTCTTGTCCTGTCGCTAGGAGATGCCCTGCGCTTTCTTTTGCAGAAGGGAAGAGTTTACACATGCCACGAGAATTAGCATAACAACTGTGAAAACTTGCTTTGTTCAAGTACACCTAAAAACCTTCCTGTACAGATTTTGTAGGGTTACCAGTATTTCCAGTATTGCAAAAACAGATATCTTTTTCTGGATCCATTTCACCACATCAGGTTTGCACTCCAGAACTGAAGAAAGCTTCCCAAATCTGCAAATCTCTCTCTCTCTCTCTCACACATACAATACACACCTATCCCTAACAGAAAGTTGCATGTGTACACACACACACACATATCTCTGTCCCTAACAGAAAGGCTTCCTCTGGGTAAAAACAGGAGAATAACTGATTTTTCAGATGTTCTTGATTTATAACCGATAGAGAATATTTTTAACAGACTAGGAGTTGTACTGTTTATTATACGCTTAATTAATTTAATTGCCTTTTAAAATTACTGATAGTTCCTATTAGTTCAGCATGCCACTGCAATCAGTAATTGTGTTAGTTCATGCTAAAAAAGCTATACAAACAGCATTTGTAGACACAGAAAATTCTATCAAGCTATTCTAATAAGATGCAAATCTTTTAAATATGTGCTTAAACTTCAAAATTACATACTGAAAATTAACCAAGTATTTAAAAAATTCAGGGTCTTGGATTATATTGTTTCTCTTCCTTTTGCAGTCCTAACTTCATGTTAAGATTTGCATATTTAACTTGAACCACAAAACTGTCACATTTAAAGCATTTATTTTGAAAAATAAAATACAAAAGATCAATTGCAAATGTACATGTAATTTATCAACATCTCAGAAATTATTTTTAAATAATTAAAGAAAGCTATTTAACAAGTTCCACATGTCAATAAAATTGAAAACAGGCACAACTCTTCTACCACCCCCACCCCTAAAACAAAGCAATACACAAAACACATTTAAGACAAGTACAGACCACCCCCCAAGTTCCATACATTTAAATCCAGATTTTAAATAAAACATTTTTAAAAATCCTTTAAAACAACGGTCTTCAGTTAAATGGAGAGAGAGCCACTATTAGCAATTTCAATGTAGATCAGTTGTTGCTTTGCTTTTTTCCAAACCTTAAAAACCTTTGTGTACGTGATACAGTACTACGTTGCCATCAGTGAAGGGCATCGACCTCATAACAGAAAAAAGTGCTTTTACTCTTAAAGTTTTACATGTGCTCACAACAACAAAAATATCAAAACTAAAACCACAGGATGAAAAGGAATGAATGGGAGAAGATTTTGAGAGAAAAAAAGCAGGCTATCAACAGTACACCTCACTGAAGTGAGCGAGATGACCAATACACTGTTGTTTCCATTGAAAAAGGCAGCAGTCTTTCCTAATTAAAAAAGAAATAAGAAAAAAGTTAGGTTTTTACACTTTTTTTTTTTGCTTGACTTCACTTAACACCCCAGCCAATTTATTTTCAGAAGCAAATAATGATACATGTTTAGTGTAACAATTAATCTCAATAGGTCCAAAAATCACAAGCCTAAACACAACTGCTCAAAACCTTTATTCCAACCCAGTTTGAATGCTTCAAAAGAGGGAAATGAGGCACTACCTGTTGACATCAAGTGAATTTGAAGGTGAAGGCAATGGAAAGCTTTTTAGCTCCAGTGAAATCAACATATTCTTTCCCTATATAGATGCAAATTCATTTTATTAACAACTTTTTCTTCCATCACAAAACCAGTAAAAGAACCTAACGGGAAACTGGAGACTTTGTTTTTCAACTCGAATGCCTCAACTGTATTCATTCCAATTATTTTTTAGTTAATTTTCAAATTACATTTAAAATACCTTGTTCAGAGGAATGCATTTTTCAGTTCTTTAATACCGCCTCATACATCATATTAAAATGACAGTTTTCCACATAGATCATTTGTAAACCTGCTTCATTTTGAAATCTGTTTCTGTATAACTCAACTCATCCCTTTGTTCTAAATTTAAATATTAATTTCTCATATAACCACATTGCCTTTAGATTTGTTTAAAATAGATGTGTTTTGTTATATTGTGTCAGGCCCTTGGAGTATTTTAAGCCAGGAACAGCCTAACAGTAAGATCCCAGTTGATCAGTAGGAACTCTTCTGCTATTCACTAGTGATCCAGGACAAAAAGCACCGAAATAAAAATACACTAAAATCATCACTCAACACACTCGTCACTGTAGGTCCCACGACAAAAAAAAAACAACCCACAAAAAACTAGTTTCCTGAGGCTGCTTCAGTAGTGCTGGGACACTACTAATAGCCAGGGCGGGTTTGATTTAAATCATGATTTAAAACACAATTTAAAATACTGGACAGAAAGCCTCAATTTAATCACTGTTTTCTACAAAAAGCGCATTCTTGTTTGATATCCTTTATTCATTTAACCCCTTGAAACTTTGCACTTTTAGAGAAAGGTAAGGGTGTGTACACAAATTTGCACAGAAACAATAGGGCTGATAGGTGGGTAATTAAATCGGGTCTGCTATCTCTCTTCTCCATATACAGGACTGCTGTTAACAAGGATGTTATCTCTGGAGAGGCAAACTCTCCCTATCCCTGAAGAAGGGCATTCGTGTCCAAAAGCTTGCAAAGAACAATTTTCCAACTATTTAATTGGTCTAATAAAAGATATTACCATCCACCCAAAGAACCTTGCCTGCCTACGATCTCTGGAGACACAAATCCACAGTTTAAGAACTGAAAGTAAGCATCACAGAGATGCTTTATGGGACTGAACACACAGTCATAGAATCATTAAAAAAATAGGGTTGGAAGGGACCTCAGGAGGTCATTTAGTCCATGTCCCCGCTCAAGGCAGGACCAGCCCCAACTACATCATCCCAGCCAAAGCTTGATCTAGCTGGGTTTTGAAAACCCCACGGATGGAGCTTCCATCACCTCTCTGGGCAACCGGTTCCAGTGTTTTGCTACCCTTTTAGTAAGAAAATTGTTCCTGACATCTAACCTATACTTCCCTTCCTGCAACTTGACACGGTTGCTTCTTGTTCTCTCATCTGCCACCACTGAGAACAGTCCAGCTCCATCTTCTTTATAACCACGCTTCAAGTAGTCGAAGGCTGCTATTAAATCCCCTCTCAGTCGCCTTTCTTTAATCCTTACTAATCCATAGAGGAGCCTCTGGGAGCCCTGTAAGACTGGGCCCCTAATATAGTCCATGGCCAGTTGTGACCTATTTATAAAAAATAGGTTACATGAATGTAAATGTCTCAAATACTATAATTAGAAGTTATAATCCCTATTCCATGATCAGATCTTTCAGCTTTAACGTAGTTTAAATGAAAATATCTTTATAAAAGTTTAGTTTTTTAAAACATCTTGACAAAAAAAAGCAAAAATACATTTAAAAATAAATCCATTTTTTTACGTAAAAAAAAAATATTGATTTTTATCCACCCGGCTAGCAGCAAAAGATGCATTAGTTAGCTCATTTTCTCCTGTCTTGGAAGAAACAACTGGCTTTAAAGATACAAAAAAAATGTATCCTTAAAACCTTGTTTTGATGGACAAGTGCATTATGTATACCTTGCTTTCAACACAAGTTAAAAATAAATGTGAACATCTGGTAAAACTGCTAGCTTGTTAATTTTCATATCTCCATGTGAAGCACCTGCTCTAGTGGGCCCAGCCCGGTGCACCACATGCAGCGCATTCGAGACTAGCTCCATATACCACGTGCAGCATGTGGGGCTAGGACCAGCACATGCTTCATGCTGCGTGTCAGGATGGTCTGAGACCCAATTGACAGAGGTTAGGGCTCCACGGGCCAGATCCAGCCCATGGGCCATACCTTTGACACCCCTGATATAATAGGCAATTGAATCTTCAGCATACCAGTTACATTAAGTTGGCTGTTACAAATGCTATGTGGGCCTGGACTAATCCCTTCACCCTCTGCCACCCAACCCCCTGTGAAATACTAGAGCAGAATTTACTTTCCTATTTGAAGGCATGATGCAAGTTTAAAAACAAATCAGAACTATCACTTAAGTGACAAAGTAGACTTGTGCTGTTTTATTTTATTACCTTATGTGCAAGATACGTCCATCAAACCATCTACTCCATAGGTTCTGTCTGTGAAAGCAAGTAAGCCAATAAAGCCAAAATTAGTGATAGTCCACCGAGATTAAAGGAAAGGTATTTTTAACACCACTCATGTCTGCACAATAGCCTATTAGTTGTTTGGTTCTTTTTATTAGGTTTATTATGTTAATTCAGTCATGAGTAAATTGTTAAAAATAAAACTAACTGAAGAGAAGCAATTTCTAATCCAGCTACAGATAGTCCCTCTTTGGATAGATCAATATATTTAAATGTAATATATATCCCTTGAGGCATGTTAAGTCTGTCATCCCTCTGAAGTTCATGACTTCAGTTTAGATTCTGCTTCTTATTTACTACTTCTGCATGTAATAACTAAATAGATTTAATTAATCTCTATTAATTCAGGCACTAAGATTTTTTTTTTTAAATTCCATTTGCAATCCTGCCTCTCACTGGGAACACAATAAATGTTTGCTGCATGTTACGTCTTGCTGACCTACTACTAAGCTCTTAATTACACCATTCAGGTTTCCTAACTGCCTAAAGTATTACTTTATTAGCATTAATTGTCATCTTCCTGTTAAGCACTGTATCTATTTGCTCTATGTATTTAAAAAAACAACAACTTATTTGCTTGTATATTCTTAAATATATGAATAGTGCTATAGTCTCATGCCTTTTTCTTTCCTTTTCTTATAACATGCATCTTGCAATTTTAGATGCAATGCTGTACCCCCCCATCTTAAAATATTTCCCCCCCCACTAGTCAGTGCCGCTTCAATTCAATTTAATTAAAACTGGTAAGAGCTACACATTTAAAACTGGTTTTGCCTTTGATAAAGCTGCACACACACACACTTTGGCCAGCAGCTGAGCTGAACAATACTGTGAGCAAGAGCACATCCAGCTGCATGGTGTCAGGTTCTTAATGGTTTTATATTAGCTGAGCACAACTTGCAAAGCATGAGTACTAACTGCTCAAAGGCCAAGAGCAGGCAAACATCCAGTAACAGAGCAAAGCCCATGTTAGAGATCACACACAAAGAAGGTTTATCAGAAAGAATCAGAATGCCTGCAGCAGGGTTTTATGCTCTAAAAACATGAAACAGACACCGTAGCTATTCTACATTACTGATCCATGTTCATTTTATCTTGCCACGGGATTTCCTTTCTATTGTCTTCTTTGGCTGGAACAAAAGAGACCATTTTGCTTTTTAAATAAATGAAATTTCATTTGAATGGATGGAACTAGTCAAAATGTTTGTTCCCTCCCCACATACCTCACCCTAGTGGCAACTTTATTCTTTCTTTTTTTTTTTTTCCGGACTCTCTAGATTTAGCAGATTAAAAGGTAATTAAGCTATCCTTAAGAATAAAAAAGAAGTGGGCTTATGTCTTCTGGATTTCTAGTGAAAAGGTTGCCTCACCTTTTATCTGACAGCATAACACTGAAAACAACCACCATTCCCACTAAAACAGGACACAATCATCATCATAACCTTACATGACGGCAAAAGGGAAAGTGGCCTGCTAAGACCAGACAGTCCGTAACAGAACCTGAGCCAGAACACAGGAGCCCTAAAGCCCAGGCTCCTATCCTGCAAAGACAGCACTTGCGAGCTTCATTTAGAAATCCTAAGCACGCTGATCTGACCAAGTGCAGGCAGTGGACTGGGAAGATGAGGCGCTTCAGTCAGTCGTCAAGTCATTACTTCTCAAAAAGAGTTATGCACTGCTGAAAGATTGCTGGAATTGCCTTTATTTTTTATCCAAGAGCAATGATAAATACGAGTCTGTTGTATGGGCACAGGATTTATATCCTGGGCATTTCTGCCTCTCCCTATAGGAAAGTTAGACAATTTGGCAGAGGAAAGATGCCTTTCCGTCGCCCACGTAATGCAACACCTCACAAGTCTGGCAAGAGGTGCACCGTAAAGTTACTGCTGCCCCACTATTTTTGTCTTCCAGCCGAACGCAAATGTAGTCCCTTAAAACACCGGTGCTCTATGCAGAGAGGAGCAAAACTGGTCAAAACTGCTAATGAACCCTTTGAGCTAAGGACCTTTACAAGCCAGCAAGTTGCCAAACAGAATAAAAGGATGACAGGAGAATAGCTCTGGCATTCAGCCCCTGATGGCAGACTCAACCTGCTCAATGGCTTGGGGGAGGCAGGACAACATCTTATCACTGGGATTTTAAAAAACAAATTAGAGTCACCAGTGGGATGGTATTTAAAAAAAAACTGAACACTTAAAGCTCCTATCATAGCCAAAGGGGGTGCAGTGCTTGAGACAATTTAAAATAATTAGTTCATAAGGTCATTTGATTCCACTCGACACACACGGGTGGGTGCCAGAGACGGAATTTGTGCAAGGAAGATGAGAGGAGAAAAAATGAACATGAAATACAGAGAATCAGGAAGCGGTTCTGCAGGCAAAGAAATCCTCCATTTTATAGCTATTTCTCTACGGACTATTTCTGTAGTGTTGAGACGCATTAAAACCAGTGATCCTCAGCCAGGATACTGCAGCACCCGGGGTGGGGCTTGAGCTCTTTTCAAGGGTGATGTGGGCTGCCACACAATGTTAGGTGTGAAAACATGATTCACAAGATAGACCTAGAGATTTTGAACAGGAACCCAAGTGTTAAAAACAATCTGACCTGTTGTGATCTTTGAGTTCTTTGATACAGAAGAACTGCTTTATTATTTTTCTGTACTCAAAAAACATGTGCAAAGTAAGAGCTGGCATTTGAATCTAATGAGGGGTGCCTTGATTCTAAAAATGTTGAGAATCACTGCATTGAACTGACAAAGATGCAAGGTTAACTTCTGAATTGCCAAGAGTTCACTTTTCTTAAATAAACCTTGAAACAACAACAGCAACAACTGCTTACAGAGTACTTCTGGAAGTTGCACATAAATCAGTTTAAGTGATCAGAAACTGGTTTAAACTTGTAAAAGAACAGAAGTTCAGTGCGCATAAACCAGTTTCAGAATGGCTGAAACTGGTTTAACATAAACCAGGTTGAATGCAGTATCAGATTTAACTGATTTGGGTCCAGCCAGTTTATGAAATTTCTGTCCCAGAGCCCTTCCTGGTTCAAGTTAAATCACAGTCCCTCAGCATCCCAACATGTTTTCCAGCCTGGGCATGGGCTGGGCTGTGCTGTCTGCTCCAGCAGAAAAGGGGCCAGGGAGGGGAGTTAAACTTCCCTTCCCCTGAGCAAAGAGCTGTTCTGCCCTGCTAAAAACTTACTGCTGGCTGCACCTGTGGACTACAAATCCCAGAGGCACCTGGAAGCAGGAAGAGGAAGTGATGAGCAACCCTGCAGAGTCCTGCTAATGTGATTCTGGACTGCAAATCCCAGAGACCCCCGGGGTAGCAGAAAAAGGAAGTGAACACACAAGCCCATGCTGGCTATGTGCCAGACAGCCGTCCTCTACCACCCCGCAACTTCTGGCTTCAGCCACTGCAGGTACGTGACTTTTTCCTGAATCAAAAGCTATCGTCTGTGCAGTCGTTTCTCAGTTTAATCTCTGCGGCTTAGACTAACCTGCAAAGACTGAATCAATTTAGCCGTGGGCTTTTTGACTGTCTGTACTTAGCCACAGTCTGTAACTACTGAGGGCCCTGACCTATACGCAGCCTTTATTTACATTGCTGGGGGCTTTTCCTTGGGAAAAGCTGTAGGACCGGGCTTTAAACCTGTATGCATGCCCAGGAACAACAGCTAATTTGTATGCTCACCACAACCATACAATGTTTTACATAACTAGTTTATGTAATCTTTATCTTAAGAAATTCAGAGCTGAGGGATGCTCTACTGTCACAAGGCATCTACATACTAATCTCAGAATTTCACTAGAATTAAAGTATTGGTCAGGAAGCTGTTAGCAGAAGACTCCAAACAGGCCCAAAAGCTGAGGTGAGACATTTCATTTCAGTCATTCCCTTGGCAAGCCAAGGACTTCTGACCACTTTGGATCCCTTTTTCAGCTGTTACCACTGAAATACATCTATTCTACCTATTGTACAATACCCTTTGGGACAGAGTTGTGCCATGCATTAAAACCGGTGCTAATTAATGGCAATACTATTACTAGAAAAATAGGATATACTTGAATACCTATATTCGTTTTGCCCTCACATTAATTTCATTACAAACTAGTTAGCAGAAGAGTAAACCATTAATATGCTGAATTATGACCTGGATTCATCTACAGCATATTGTCTCAATCTGATAAAAAAGAAGTACAAACACTGAACTCTGATCAAGGTCTGCCAATGTGCTCTGGATGGTAGCTTTCTTGCTTTAAAATTTCCAAGTGCCCCAGACAAGATTTTATAATCACTGGGCACATCTACATGTTCATGAATGCGCTGTGCCTACCGCGTGTTAAATTTAGTATTTGCTTAATCAAGTACTAAATACATGCGCAGTAGGCTGCAACACTATGCACTGGCATCATCACGTTTTTGATGCGACGCTTAATGCGCAGTAGGCTAATACTACTGCACATTAGCGTTTTAGCGCAGCTTTTGCCGTGTGCATTAATGCATTGTGGAATTAGTCTACCGTACATTAAGCATCTTGTGTAGGAGCACCCACTCGCTACCAAAATAGAAAAATGTAGGCATGAAAAAGATATTAGAACGGGGATAATGAAAGCTTGAGGTTTTAAGAGATCAATTGACTCTAGATAGTAGGGCAAGTAACCCGAGACAAATTATGTACAACGTCTACGTTTGTGGCACAACTTCATTAATTCAGATAAAGAAGTTCTCTAAGGAGAAAAAAAATTATCATGCCTACAGCCTCAGACTACTTAAACACGCTACCAAGGAAAGTCAATTACTCTGTGGTATCACAAATTTAAGAGACTGACTTAATTTGTTTGATTCAATCTTATATAAGCGCAAAATAAAAATAATTGCATTCTCCCTATAAAGTAAGATTTATTGAAAACTATCACTGCTCTCTCTCTCTCTCTCACACCCCACCCCTTCTTGCAGTTCAACACACACAGAAAAGGAAAAGAATCCAATACTGTACCTGTGGCACTTCCTTAAGAAAATCAGGAAGCTGAAATTCACCTTTATAGACCTGGAGGAAAGAAAAGAAAAAGACAACACTTTACACAGATGCTTTTACTGGATGTTACAATTATTAAAAAGGAATCAATTCAGATCCGCAAGGGTTACCTTGAACTAGTCATACTAAAACAGCAATGTCTGGGCTTTCTCTCCCCACCAAGTTGGCCCCTTTTTCTTTCTGTTGCTGTAATTTGAATAATTCAGCCTTCAAATAATCTTTAGGCTTAATAACAATTTAAAACAGTTTTTACTTAAACTTTAAAGCATCGACAGTAGTTTTTATGGTAAGAGATGCCTTTTATGATCAACATTACTCTATTAAAAAGCACTAATTTCTGCAGTTCTCAAATGCGGATATTTAGGTCCTATAATATTTAAAAGTGATACCCACATTCTGAAGTACTGCAAGTCCATTTGAAGATTTTGTATAATTCTATCAGCTTTGCCACACAAGTGCACTACTTCTTACGCAGCTATTTTATTTTTAAAGTCCATCCTATATTATCATATGCTGTTATGCAGAAATTTCTCCGAAATCTAATAGCAAACCACTAAATAATGAGCTGAATCACCTATTGACTTTTTACACGTTACAGTACATTATCCTTACACAACTAATGCTGGTCACAAGAATCTTGCCTCTAAAGAACTGAACAGCTTTTCTTGACCAGGACCACACCAAGTCTAGATCAGAAATACTATAGTATGCAGCATTACCTTAATCCAGAACTCACAAAATTATGTTACACAGAGACACCTGAATTGATATACATGCATGCACACACACATAATGAAGGCTGTTATGCCAAACAAGGCCAAATTCTCTCTCAGCTATAATGATGTAGTAATTTAATTGAAGTTGTAAAAGCTTCTCTGGATTTGGTCTACTGGAACCTGGGGCACTATCTCTATATGTATAACACACAAGTCGCATTAACATTTTTTTTTTTAAAACTGTGAATGGTTAGCACTCAGAACACAGGAACCAACTTATTATGAAGAGAGATCTGCAGGCATACAATTAACTCCAGCTAACAGAGTGGCTAGATTACAAAAGAGTTTTAGGAATCTGCAACTCGCTGAGATAGTGAATCTGTTCCTTTAGCTAAAGCAATAAACCTTCCTGCTTTCTGATCCAAAGATGGTAAGCTCAGCCCCCACATCGCAGCTCTGTTACATCAATGTTGCTAAACATTTTTACTGTGTTCTGAATCTTCCTAGCCATATTAACTTTGTCCCTCAAACTCTCTCTTTGTATTGCCAGCCTCTTTGAAATGAGAAAGTGACCCCTGCACACTATAGGAAGCATAAGCTTTGGGCTGTTCCCCCTGGAGATGCCCGATATTCTTGTTCTTAGGGAAAGTGGCATGATGCATTTTCACAGGTATAAGCCCGACACAAAATAAGGTTAGAATTTTTTTAATACCACACTAAAGGTTCAATCTATCACATCTCACATTAATACATTCTTGATTTTGTTTCGTTTTTACCCCCCCCCCCAAAGCCCCCCAAAACAACAAAACCCCCAAAAACCAACCAAAAACAACCAGGCCGATTAAAAGACCACAATATTATACAGGTATGTTATTAAAACCAGGTAATACTGTGTGCTACAGATATTTCTCACTTCTATCAATGAATACCCCAAAGTCATGACCTTGTGCTGTCCTGGATAACGTGAATCACTGTGAAATAAAAGTGGTCAGTTGTGAAGAAAATCTAGTATTTAAGGAATTACCCCACAGCTTCCTAATTGTGTTTTGACTAAAAGAGGTGCTAGAAGAAACCATTGCTGTAGAAATGGAAGGGCAAAATATATGGATGGAAAACTTAGAAGCTGTTTAAAATTTCTTAGGCTAACATGAGTCAGTTTTGCATAAACAAAGGTTATTGGAGGAGCTAAGGCATGGGCAGGCAATTATTTCGGGCAGAGGGCCGCTTACCCAGGTTTGGCAGGCTGTTGGGGGCTGCATGAGTAGTGCTGCCCCTTGACAGGAGTCCCGCCCCCTGGTCACCATCTTAGGACCAATGTCCCAGGACCAGCACCGGTGGGGCCCAAAGCGGGGCACAGGCTGGCAGAGGTCTGTGGAGTTGGGCTGGGCTGCACCAGCAGGGAGAGGGGGGAGCTGGCTCGGCTCCACAGAGCTCCTGCTGGCTGGGACCCTGCACTCCTGCCACCCTGCTCTGGGCCCCACTGGCACTGGCCCTGGGACACCGGTGTGGGCCCTGTGCTCCAGCTGGCTCCCTGCCCACTCACTCCCAGCGCCCTGCAGTACAGGCAGGGGGCAGCGCACAGCCCCAACCCCCTGCTCACCGAGCATGGGGAAAAGCAGCCCTTTGCCCAGAGCTCCCTGCTGCAGCTGCTCAGAGCCCACGTGGGGCTGTCAGGAGCAGACACAGGCAGCCCCACGCGGACTGTGAGCGGTTACAGTGCGGAGCGCCAGCCATGGGGTGAGTGAGGGGCTGCTTTTCCCCGCGCTCGGCACCAGCTTGTAACCTGGCCCCGCTGCCAGCCTGGGCCCTGCCAGCTCTGGGCTCGCCCATCGGAGCTGCATGTGGCGGCAGCAGCTGCGGTCCCCCCGCTTGCCGCACCAGGCAGTGTTGGCTGCTGCTCCCCACCCGGAGCTCGCATGCTGAGCAGCCCACAGGCAGCGGTAGCAAACACTGCCTGGCGCAGCAAGCCGTGGGGCCGCAGCTGCTGTTGCTACATGCAGCCCCAACAGGTGAGCCTGGAGCCGCGCAGGGCCCAGTCTGGCAGCAGGGCCGGATTACAAGCTGGTGCTGAGCACCCGGGGGGGGGGGGGGGG